TTGTAAAATGAAAAAAAGTTTTCTCTTTTTTTTCACAAATTTCAATATAATAGAATTAAATTTCGAAAAGATTCTTTATTGTGTTTCTGACGTTTGTTCACAATCAAAATATAAATCATTTTCGTTATTCGTCACTGGAACAACTGGCGGAGTGAAATTGAACAAGCGTCGAAGATGAAATCCGACAAAAATAATGATCCAAGCTATACAAGTTGCCGTTAGATATGGAGGTACACAGTAGACATAGAGACGGACAATAAGTAGAAATAGTTTGATGAGAAGAAAAATGACAACATATAATATAGAGAGTTCTGTTAATGTTTCACGCATTTCAAGATCATCAAGCTTGATATACGGACATTTTATACCCCAAAGAATGAAAACAAGACCAGCACAAATGATAATCGTTGTATCACTAGATATACGAAGTAAAGGTGGAAGACCAAACGTTAACAAAGCGGTAAACACAATGATTAAGGCAGATGCATAGTATAAAGATCTTTTCATCCAACTCCAAATTGTCAGAAAAATATAAACCATAATAGAAACTGTTGCATTGGAGAAGCCAATACAGAATAGAATAACCCATGTGATGAAAATCGCACAAAAATCGGCGATTTATCGCGATTTATCATGCCGATTAATTGTGAGATTATATCGCGATAAAATCGCTCAAACTGGCGATTTTTGGCGATTTTTAGCGATTTTTTTCGAAAAAATCGCGATTATTCCGCGATTTTCCTCTAATCAGTAAAGGTGATTCGTTTCAATCCTCATTCTAACATTTTACTCTTTGTTCTTTTTTCTTTCCTATTGCGACTTTTAATTTGCATAAAAAGTCTTTTTTTCACATTAAGATAATTATTTATTTTCAAATAAAATAAAAATAAGTTAGCAAGATTCAAATGGACAAAAGAATACGCTGAAAACGTTTTTAAGGCACATAAAACATAATCAAAATAAAAATACGAAACAGTACAAATATATGCACTAAAAAATCAAGACACATGGTGAAAAACAAACAAAGAAGACAAATGAGAAAAAAATATAAAATTATTTTATCAAAAATATTTTCTCAATACATATTATCATGTCGAAATGCAATCATTTCTACAATTAGTAGCTCTTAGAACAGCTGAAGCGTCCAATAAAAGAGTTGTTTAAGTTGACGGCAGCATAGATATTTGTCATATTAATATAATCTAAAAAAAAGAACAAATAACACAATGAGACATAAAGTGAAAGAATGGAATACGTAAAATACTTTTTATATTCAGAAAACTGCGTAACTCTTCAAAAATAATTTTAAAATAGGAATACTTATAAATTCGAAAAAAATTTACTAAATACTTTCACATGACTTACTTAAATTTTATAAATATTAATGATACAAGTAAGACATCAGCCGTAGAATGTTGATCAGTTAGTTAGACCATGCTAAATCAGAAGGAAAAAAATTAATATAAGATGAAAACATTTACCTTCAAAATAAGTTGTATTTACCAATGTCTTCGTATAAGATTATCACTGCTATCGAATCCATGCGCTCATCTACAACATATAACAGCAAATTAGTAATAAAACAGTACTAACGCATTATTGCTTTTCGAAGAAACATTATCCAATAAATAATAATACAACAAAAAATTTTCACCTTATAGGTGTTTAATGTTTGGTTTTAAGAATGTTTAACAATATTAGAGTAATTGTAGAACATGGATATTATCAAAATTGAAAAAATGAAATTAAAACAGAAGTTTATAATAAAAGCAAAGCACATAGGAAAACAAAAATTTTTCCCACATCTTCTTGATAATTTTATATTTTAATTCTAAAATCAAAATATTTCAATTGGGATAATATTCGATGCCTGATTAAACGCTTTTATTAGTATACTTCTTGTCATATAAAATTCATTGTGAATCAAACTTCTAATCGCAAATGACGAGAAATAAACTCGAATAAGACGATCTAAAATAAAACTTAAATAAACCAAAAGCAGCAGATATGAATGTACTTATTTGATTATTTAATAATATGTTGAAGCGATGTTAGAGATAGACAACGACAAAAGAATCTATAAAAAAAAAGAAAAACAAACTTAAACATCAAATAAAACTTATCATTCACTTAACAAAAGCTAAAAAGATACAGTACTAGGTAGATACATAACTCAAGAAAATTAAGTCATTTTAGATACAGAATAATGGACAAAAGCAATTAAGCCGATCATTGTTCAACTTACGACTAGCCACTTTTGTCTAACAAAAATATAACGAAAGAGGGCGCTAGCCTATTTTTATTAAATATATTTATTACAAAAAATAGATTGAATTTATATATAAAATAAACTGAATATATTATAATCTGTAATTTAAATAAGCCAATTAATAAAAGTTGTTTTTTTTTATTTGGCTATTCAAAAACTATTCATTTTTATTATAAATATAAAATAGACAAAAAATTATTTATCTTATGATAAATATATGGACATTCATAAAATAGCGCTAAAACTCTTTTGAAAAACACTTCGATTAAACATGACAAAAAACGCATTTCATCGCTCAAAAAAATATAGAATTACAATCACTTTTTTGAATAGATCAAAACAATGTATATTATAAAGAAGCTGAAAAATAAATAATAAGGATTGTATATATTTCTTTTTATTGGTTAAAATTCAGCTACCAGTAAATGTTCATTCTGAATTTTCGCTTCACAATTTTGGTATGAAAATTATGGAAATATTTTGACAAAAAGAATCAAAAAACACTTTCAGTCCCAATAAAATAATATATTCTATTTATTTTTCTATTGACATAACTAACAAACTTGTTCTTGAAATATCGCGATTAATTGCTGATTTTTTTGGTATTGCCATTAATAACCAAAACTAACGCAATTTTGATGACATGGGAAATGGCCGAGCATTGCTATAATTTCTTAGCTTGAGTCAAAAAATTTTAAGTTAAATAAATCGCCAGTTTAATCGCGCTATATCGATAATATAAAACAATTACCGATCAATCGCGATTTTTCAAGATACTGACGGTTAATCGCGATTAATTGGCGATTTTTTTCATAATCGCGATTTTTCAGAATATTGACGATTAATCGCGATTTCAGAAAACTAACGATTAATCGCGATTTTTCAGAATACCGACGATTAATCGCGATTTTCCAAAATACTGACGATTAATCGCGATTAATCATTAGTATTTTGAAAAATCGCGATTAATCGTGAAAACTTAGGCGATTTTGACGACATGGGAAGGAAGATATGTGGTGCTGTTGTAGGATTTCGCAAGATCAATAAGAACATTGTCAAGATTTGATAAAGCCAACCATGTTGACGTGCTTCAAACACCGCTTGAATTCCAGGAAGATTAGTTGTAGGTGGTCTAGAGCATTCTTCTAAAAATCTTTGGATCCAGACAGCGAACCAATTTCCAGCAATCGGTGTTTGTCCAGTAACATTAATATCATTAGTTTCATTTTGTATGGGCAAATTTTGTTGGAATAAATGATTCAGATGTTCTTGCAGACATTGTTGTGAATGACTTTCAAACAATCTTGGTTCTACAGCACATTGACACACACTACATTGAACAACTGTAGGTCTACACGACGATGAATGTTCGTCAAGCTGATCTATAAGCACCAATTGTTCACATATGGCACATCGTTTCGTTCGGAATTGACAATTGACTTGTTCATGTCGTTCTAATAAATCATACGCTAGAATTTCTTTACAACCAAATTGCGTATTACGACAACGAATATGTAAACGAGCCAAGATTGATTGAATGTGAGGTGGAGCTCGTTGTTCTTGGTATGGAACACATCGATATGGGCAAGTGGTTGGATTTATATTGAGCCATGTTCGAATACATTTATGGCAAAATAAATTCCGACAGGAAGAACACGAACACGGTTTCCATAATAGATAACCACATATGGGACAAAAATATTCCTGAGGTAAAACAAAGTCGTCATTGACGATGCGATCTTGATCAATGTATCCTTCCTCTATATTGACAGTCAGTGTAGAAACCATTTCTCTCGAATTATTAATATGAAAAGAGTCACATGTTGACTCCTTTATATACTAAAACTGGTTATGAATCAGGTTGGAAAAAAATATTTGTATTGATGATCGGTTATTTCCAAGTTGATTGAATTAAATCATGCTCTATTCAAATATAGAGTCGTCATTAGGCAATGTGTCAGATAACTATTATTCATTCACATTTACCTGAAAAAAACCAACTAAATAATTCCCTATAGCGTCCACCTTTGCACATGATTTATAAATCAGAAGAGAACGAACAGGTAAAATTTAGAAAGAAAACAAAACTACATGTTATCTAATCGTGACAAAATATTGTTGCCATCATAATCACGTGACTTTTGATGATTAAACACGATTGGTTAGCGAGTTTTCGATTAGTAAAATAACGTACAATTAATCGATGGTTATTAAAATATTGGCAATAACACATAACTAATTGCGATATTTACAAAATAACGACGTAAGAATCATCTACATACAGATTATTCGAATGTTTTTTTTTTCTTTCCGAAAGCAAAATAATGAACAAAATCTTACGAAGATCGTATAAGATCTTATCGACAATCGAATGTCGTAAAGCTCATACTATATGATCTTACCAAATCGTAAAATTATCTTACTGTTAGATTTCATATTTATTCGACTATAAGATGCTCCTACGAATCTTATACGATCCTTATAAAGTCTGATCATCGAAATCTTATACGATAGTATAAGATCATAGTTTTAGATCACACTTATGTAAGTGGTTTTTATAAATATTACAACTGATGCAAAAGTTCTTGGACAAATGTGTATCCAGTTTTCATCGGCTAAAACATGTGTCCGAAAAATCAAAAATATCTATCCCGAATCTACGTCGAAAGTACTTTCTAACTATATATTCAACAATGTTCTATCATAGCTTGTTTTTTAATTGTGAACACATCTTTGAGTAGCATCATAAAAATGCATGATGTAAACAAAAAACAACTACTGCAAAATTACTAATCCATCAGTATTTTGTGATTTCTTTCGGCTTATTTAATGAGAATTTGTTCATCTTTTCGTTATCGGGTCAGTTGCTCTAATCTGGAGAAATCGTGTGGAAAACATTAGGGAATTCTTTGAGATAATATCGAAAAAAATCAGTTTCTGAGGTCTTGGCATCTTTTAAGTTACTGCTCTTTTTTTTCTGTTCGATGTCCAAGTTTGTCATTTCTAGGGACGAGCAACATAACAGGTCTGACATATTTATAGGCGAGTATCTAGAATCATTCGTAGTCATGATTTCACGTGATTTCAATCTTTTCGATGACGCCGTTCGGATCTCAAAAAAATTCCATCTGTTCAGCAATTCAGTTCTGATCTTATTTTTTAGATCATTGTTTTTCAATTTTTTGATCATCTCATATAAAGCAATACTGTCCACTTTTCTACCAGGTTCATAGAGAATCAAACGACGCATCCAAGAGAGGAAAGAGCAGCAAAACACCATGGAACACATTGAAGAAAATTAAAAAATATTGAAAATTCAGTTTTCTCTAGTGCTGCTACTTTGTACTGTTTTTACAGACTACATTTTAGTGTTGTTTAAAGACGTACTCGTTACTCAAAACAAGCCATGATAGAACATTCTTGAATATACAATTAGAAAGCACGTTTGACTTAGATTCTGGAAAGATATTTTCAATTTTTCGGAAATATGTCTTAGCCGCTGAAAATGGGATACACATTTGTCCATGAACGTTTGCAACAGCCGTTAGTTTTGTGCATGTAAATAAATATTTAAGCGATTAAATGCGTTCTAATTTAGAGTCTAGATTTTTAGAATTGAAAACACATCTTCTTTGTAATGGTGTTGGTCTAGTAAGAAATCACTGCATAGACAATTTAATCGATTTGATTAAATAGAAGTTGGTTTTCTTTTATTGAAATTGTTTATTTTATTATTTTAGGTCATTTTAACGATCAAAATCAATAATAATATTTTTCTTTCTTTTTTAATGTCTTTTAAGCTCATGTTTGTGTTTTCACTTAGTTTTTGTAATTTTTATTGATAAATATAAATACACAAGTAAAGATGAAAGATTTTTCAAGAAAACACAATGATAGAAGTGGAAAGTGGAAGAGAATTATGTATGCAACGTTGTAGGAAATTCTGGAAAATCATACATGTATCCTATGAGAGCTGACATTAAGATTATACAAGAATCATACAGTATGATTTTATCAAAAAATCCAGGTCAAACAACCAGACAGTAAGATCACATGGAAATTGTACAGAAAATCGTCGTATCGGAATTCTGTTGATTCGTAGTATTATAAGATTGTTGAAAGACCCTGTTACCTTGTAAGATCTTTCACGAATCTAACAGTATGATCTGATGCGAGATTTCTTAGACGACGATTTTTTGTTAGATTCTTGTAAGATTTCGTTCAAATTGCAAGATCTTACATGCAGATGACAAGATCTTACATCAGATTTTCTGACATGGGTAGTGATATTTTAAAGAGATATTAGTTTTATCGAAATATTGCAGTGGCATTTCATGCGTAACAGAATCTTTCAAGAATCTTCTAATACGACCTTGTGTAAGAAATCAGAGACGACGATTTTGCGTGTGTTTTTTCATCGAATCTTATCAGACCAGATATGATCAGACATATGATCCTTGCAAAATCTTGCCATCCGATTGTTTGACCTGTGTTGTTTTTATTATAACAACGAATATATATATGCCCCATTACGAAGGAATGTATAAATACACAAAGAGAGGCAAGTTTTACCGACGACGAGTGTATCAATAAAGACTCAGATATGCAATGCTATATAGTGATACACATAGCAGTAAATAGACATCAGCAAAAAATCATAATACCACAGGTCAACATCGCAGTACAACTAGATAGTCTCATACAATTACATTATTGAATACGAGCAGCACTCAGTACAAAAATCAGGCTGTGCATATATATATAACGACAAAGGCGTAAAAGCTAAAGATACTACTGTAAGACTAGACAAATAATGGTACAGTCACAGGAATATAGTTACAGAAGTGTAAGCCCACAGTTATAGTGATATAGTTCTAATGTAGAGATATAGGCTGTGTGTTTACACGAGTTTAGTTCCAGAGGTATGTCAAAGGACTTAACTATAAGAATAGAGCTATAGGGATATAGGTTCAAGAATTTAGCTATACAGATGTAGCTATAGGATGTAGGTCTAAGGGTTTAGTGGCAAGGGTAAAGTTATATGGATATATATCCGAAGATTGAGCCATACGGATATAGCTATAGGAGTATAGTTATATGGGTATATGCAGAAGAGTTTGAGCACAATGGTATTGATACAAAGGTATGGTTGTAAGGACATAGGTGTAAGAGTATATGTATAAGGGTATAGATATAAGGATATAGACTTAGCGATAAAGGGATAAGGGTATAGGTGTAAGAGCATAGTCATAAGACTATATGTATAAGAATATCAGGATAAGGGTACTCTAAAAGAATCCGTTTTCTCGACAATCCGAACATGTTCGGAAACCCATTCGCAAACCTTCAGAGGTTTTCGAAAAGGTTTCCGGTCTTTGAAGCGTTTTGAGCAATAATCTCTTGATTTCTGAAGATTCGGAAACTCTTAGGTTCCGTAAAATACTGATTTCGACGCTCTAAAAGTATTTTGGAATACCTTTTTCTTTATATTGGAAACATAATAGTCTTCTCAGAAATCACTACAGTTTTATGGGAAACTAATATTGCCAGAAAAACTGAGTTGGTAGGCGAAGAGATACACAAAAATATCTTTTCGATTCCGAAAAATTCTGAATTGATAAAAGGTGTAATGGAGAATCAAATTCGGTTTTCGAGTTTTTGTTTGACATCCTGAAAGATTTCCAAAGTCTTAAGAATTTTCGGAATGTTCACCAAAAAGATCGTGATTAGAATCCAAAAGCTTCGTAAAACAACATTTTTGGTGCTCGAATTTTCTCTTCTGACTTATGTTTTTGTGCAACTTTAAAGATTTTTAGTGAACTGAAAATTTCTTATACATAATACAACGTATTTAATTACAAATCGTTCTTTGTTTTCGTCGAAACTTTTTCAAAATCTGACACAATTTCGTACTTTCGAAATAAGCTAATGTTATCTTTTCATTCTTGAGCTAGTCTCAATTTTGAATACATAAAGAAAAGTATTATGTTAATAATTCGAAAGAAAATAATATTATTAGCGTAAAAATTATATATTTTCCTTGCCTTGTTTCATTAGATTTAATAAGATAACGATTAAATATGGCCATCATGGTTGTTAAAAGTTCCAGAGAGTGAGAATGAGAATGCCAGAAGGTTCTAGCTTTCGATGACTATTATAACTGGTTTATTCCTAACAATCACAGGATCGAAGGCATTCAAATCACGTGAAAAACTTCAACTTGAACGAACATGTGGGACAAATTAGTGTCATTTATATGGCATCTAAGCAACATGTGTATATGTCGTTTTCAAAAGAGAAACGATTTGTGGTTCTAGAATTGTCCTCTCTTTTTTCGATGTTTTCCTTACTTTTATTTTGTAGTCGAATAAGAATAAAGGATTAAGTCTTTAATCTGTAAATTCAAGACGATGCACGTATACTCGACTATTATTCACTTTCATTGGAGTGAGCCTTGTCGCATCAACGTTTCGATTCATGAAGAGAATGTAATTTTGCTACTTTTTGAAAATGACCAGTCATAAAATGTTACACTAGTGTTCTACTGACAAATATTTTTTTTCTAAACATTTTTTTATGATATTTCTTTGTTTGTTTCTGGTGAAGGACTAATCTTCTCAGACAGAAGATGCACGATGGGAAACCATCGTTTCTGATTGTCAGCTGCACATGAATTGAGGCACGTATCGATGAAATATTAACGGTCAGTCATATATTAAAACTAGACACTAAGTAATCTTGTCTTATAACATATGATCCAAAAGTAACCGGACAAATGTCGGTACCTATTTCTCTTTGACGGAAGGGTGCTGACAGAAATTTTTTTTACCAGAAGATAGAGAATTTTCTCTTCTTTCGAATCGAATATAAATTATTTTTATAACACCCTCACAAACGAAAGAACGCCAAAGAAAAGAGAGGAACCCCTACAAAGACTCCGTACTTTTCTAGAAAAAAGACTACACAAAATGTCGATCCTCATATCTCTTCGATAAATGAGTTGTGAAAAGAATATTTTTTATCAGTTGATAGGAAATTTTCTTCTCTTTCGAACAGTGTATGATTCATATTTGTCATATATTAGTGAGTGAGATGAGAGGAGAAAAAAGAGAAACATTCGTGCAATAAATTCATAATTTTTATATGCATTCGTTAAAAATATCTTGCAGACAACAGTTAATCATGACTAGCTATCGTTTTACGAGACGTTTTTAATGAGCTCATAAAATTCGAAGTAAGTACCGTCTGACAAGACCTTTTCAATGAGTCCATAAAGATCGCATTAGTTGTTATTTAACAAGATATTTTCGATAACTACATATAAAAAAAATAAATTTATTGCGTCAATATTTCTCTTTTTTTTCGTGTCTCATTTCATTTATGAATGTACAACGAATATAAATCACACACTGTTCGAAAGAGGAAAAAATTTTATATTAATTGATAAAAAAATATCCTTTTCAAAATATGTTTTGTTGAAGAGTTATAGGAAACAACAATTTGCGTCGTTTTTCTGAATCTCACAAAAAGTGCGGACTCTTTTTAAGCATGTTTCCCTTTCCAACTGCATTATTGCATTTATGAACTTGTGACAAAAATAAATTACATATAATTCGAAAGAGAAAGTTCTCTACTTTCTGGAAAAAAAAAATTTTCTTCCAGCACTTTCCTATCGAAGAGATATTGATGCTGACATTTGTATGGTTACTTTCGTATCATTTGTTATTTAGGCTCATATCAATAAGATGTAAAGAAGGTAAGTTACATATAACAAATAGAAAAAGAATATTTTATTCTTCATTTTAGGTTGATATCAATATGATTAAAATGCTGAGTTACATATAACGAATAGAAAATGATTATTTCATATGTTTTTTTATGTTCAGATTCCAATCGAGATGATAGAAATGGTAACTTACATATGATGACTACAAAACTGACATTTTCCTTTTTTTGTGTTAAGATTCATGTCAATATAATAGAAACGATGAGTTACACATGACAAATAGAAAGTGCCTATTTTATTTGATTTTATTTTTCGGTTCAAATCAATACGATAGGAATGGTAAGCTACATATAACAAATGCGTCATGAATATTTTCTCTTTTTTTATTTTTAGATTGATATCGAAATGATAGAAATGGTGAGTTACACATTATGAATACAAAATTACTATTTTCTTTTTTACTTTTCGATTCATATTAGTACAACATAAATGGTAAGTAGTATGGGAAAAAATTGATTACTTCAATCTTCATTTTGGGTATGGGTGTGGATAGACCGAAGAGATACATCCATACCAAAATCCATACCCTATACCCACATCCCACCTACACTCACACCATACACCCTACCCACACTTACACCCCACACTCGCACCTAACCCACACCCATCCACACCCATACCCAATTCAAAATAACTCATTTTGTACAGCGTTGAATTTTCTGTCGGATGATAATATTTCAGGGGAGAGGGAACGAGACTTCAGGAGTGCGTACTTCCTCGTACTTTTTCGTACTTCCATGGTACTTCCTTGTAATTTCATGATACCTCTCTGTACTTCCATCATACTTTAAAATACTTCGGAAGTAGATGATGTCTCGCTGTTTCTTCCTTAGGATATTTATATTCGATTTACCAAAGTCCTTCTTCTCTTCCCATGACCAAAACACTTTTTCGCACAGAAATGTAGAACCCGTTTGCAGCGTGTATATTATGTTTGAGAATAAACGGCTCTTCGCCAATGTTTATCAAAATATCAAATAGATGAAAATGATTCGTCTAAGGATGAATTCCTATTCTTAGTCCTGAAGGACGATCTTTTCGAAATTATAACTCACATTAGTCTACTCGTTAATCTATTTACCTTTAACTTGGAGAGCAAGAATATGATTTATCGGTCTTTTTTATGTATTATTGGTTTTTTCGTTTATTTTCAGTTGTATAATATACAGAAAATGGCAAGCGAGACTATCCAAGCGAACTGTTTTTATGCAAATATGCTTTAGTTTGCTTTGGGTTGAAGATTGATATTGCCATTGAGCAAATATAGTAATCTTTTCATATGAATAGAACAACTACTGAATATTTGTACAGCACTCGAGTTTAATGATATCATGAATATTTAATGAATAGACGCGGGTAACAGTAATATACTTCCTCGAAGAGATATAGGGTGTGGGTGTGGGTATTGTTATCTTTATTGTTCCACACCCCAGACCGTGACAGACATGTCGCATCTTATTATGTTTTTTCGGACCATGGTATTATTGAGCTTTAGATCTTCTAATTATGAGTTTTTGGGCCACAATGCTACATGTTTTCGAACCTCGAACTGCTGGGTCTTCAAGGATATTCTCGCTTCTGAATAATACGGAATTCCTTAGCCAAAAAACTGTTCTCTCTCAGAGTCCAGCATTGAAGACTGTATTCGACGCTGTGAGAGATAGTTGAAAACAATTCTCTCTACTTTCATGGCGAATTTCTAAAAACAAAAGGCGCATCATTGTGTCTATTTGAAACAGCTTCATCGTCTTTCACATTTTAATCCTGCAGGCATCACGCTGAAAGGTTTTTCATATAATTTGCAAAAATCCATATCAATCAATTTTAGTACTCATTGTCAATGTGAAAGCAGCATTTGACAAAGCTGCATATAATCGATGTGTCCAAGGACGCAAATGCTTGTTAACTACACGGCAAAGAGCTATCTGCTACGTCGCTTATATGTCAGCAGCGACTGGAAAATAAAGACATGATAAACGGACTTTTGTTGACCAAAGTCAATTATTAATTGATACTTTATAATCTCCCTTTATTTAATCAAGATTTTGACTCATCCACAAATGATGACTCGTATATCGAAGAATATTAGCCCGCGTCGGTTTTATCTGAAATTTCGACGGTAGATTACATCGTAAATATAATTGGTGTAAATAATCATTCACACATCAAGCTTTTCCAGGAGTGTAAAAAATTCTAAAGCCATCAAACATCTATAATTGTTTCGAATAATTTAAAACAGCGTTAACTTAATCGCTGAATGTCTTCAGGTAGATATATAAAGTAGTAAGTGGTTTTAGACCTTGATCCTACCAACGCTTTTCTAAAGTAAAACCTATGAGTTTTATAAAACATGATTCGACAATGAACCTTGAAGTTAAGAGTAAGAAAAATAAACCTTTACACTGCTCCTACAACTCGTAAAAGATATGATGGGTGCGGGTGTGGGTGTATGCGTTGAACTAGATGTTCTGACGTCTCCCACACCCACATCCACGTCAATCTGAAGATGACAATGATCATGATAGTGACGATGATGGTGAACAAAGTGATGATGTTATTGGGGATGATTAAGTTAATAGTAAACAAAAAAAAACATGTATTAAATCTACTTCTACAAGACCAAATCGAAATAATATTATTTCTATTATTGCACAATTGTCATCTGATGCTAACCGGATCTGAATTACTATAATTGAATATGAAGAGGTCGTCAAATATGTTAAACAGGTAATTTGAATAGTCGGTAGTCTCTGTTGCTAAACTAGATCATTTTGAAAATCACAATAATTTTGTAAAAAAATTTAATTCCCAGGTCGACAAATCAGACGGTAAGACTTTACAAGATCATATCCTCTGCTCTTATATGATCATATAAGATCAGATGAAATAGCGTACGGAAAATCGTCGTTTCTGAAATCTTAAGTTACTTCGTATTACAGGATTCTTGAAAGATCTTGCTATCTTGTAAGATATCACAGTAAGATTATAGAAAATCGTAAGTTCTTGCAAGCATCTTATACTATGATTTACTGCAAGGTCTCAGGAACTACGTTTTTTGTATGATTTTCTCTGATCGTACAAGGTCTTACGTCTGATTTTTTGACCTGGGTTGTTTTCTGTTTTAATAGATGAACTTGAATCAAGATCTTGAATATCGAAATGCTGCTGTGCTTTTACAATGTACAAGAGTCAGATGATTATCATTATTAAATTTCTTAGAGAACGTAGAGATATCTTTAATCTCATTTGATGAAATATTTGAGAAAAAGAATTTGAAGGGTGTAGATGTGGCTAAAGAGAAGACTAACACTCATACCCACAACCACAACCACACCTACATCCCACACCCAACACCCTAATTTTCGTTGAGACCCAAAACTTATGGGATACGCTTTATGATTTTTGGCGGTACAAAATTAATTTCCTTAGTTCAGTAATATAGCCATACGAATAGTTACTACATTTTTTCCTCTTTTAGATGACAGAAATTGCTACTAAAGAGACCATGGAATTAAATATGAGTTTATATGACTCTCATAAAAATAATCAGATTGAAAAGTATTTAATATTCAATAATTATATTAAAACGATTAATCGAATGGGTTCTTATGGTGATATAGAATTACATGTTGCTAGTTATAATGGACACAATGAATTTATTCAATTATTATTAACAGATAGTGCATTGAAATCATTTGAAAACATTTCTAATTCATCAGCATTCTATAATCAATCTAGAATAGACGAAATTGAAAAATTATATCAACAAGCTACGAATTTATGTTATCTTCAGGAAAATATTCAAGATTCTGATTATATTGAATGGTCATTAATTGGTGATAATCTAATTAAAAAATGTAAAAAATTTCGTGAACAAATAGATTTATATAAAACGTATGATAATCATCATCATTTAATAACGAAATTACTCATTGAAATAATTGATTATTATTTAAATGAATATTTAATTGAACAAGAACATTTATCGAGACATGAAGCGAAAACCGTTGAATCTTATTTTAAACAAGCAATTGAGGAACAAAATTATTTAAAATACTTTATCAAAGCTTATACATTAACAAATAATTTTTATCGTGTTCTAAATAAACATCTAGCATTATATATATTAGATTATTTTGATACAGCATCTTATTCTTCTTTGCCAACAAAATATCGTTTAATTAATTGTTTAGTACATATAGTTACATTAGTAATTAATCATCCAGATATACATAAGTATAGATATGAGGGTGTTTGTTTTCGTGGTTTATTAATGACGAAAAAGGATTTGAAGAACTATGCTATTGGCAATCACATATTAAATCGATCATTTTTATCAACATCAAAAAGTTGTACGATTGCTAAAATATTTGCTGATAATAGTCAACAAAATACTTTAGAAGAAACATCACAAAATGATCGTGATTTATCACAAGTATCTGTGTTATTAAAATATAAAATTAAACAAAATCAAACAGCGATTGATATTGAACATTTATCAATGATACCAGATGAAAAAGAAGTATTAATATTACCATTTTCAGTATTTCAAGTTAAAGATAGAATTAGAAATAGTTCAAAAACGTCTTCACCAGTATTATATGAAATTGATTTAGAAGAATGTGAAGAAGACAAAGAAACAAATAACAGAAAAGACAAAAGTAAATAATTTCATTTTAATGATTTATGGTATTCGTCAGACATCCTAATGTCTCACATAACTTGTAGTTATCATCGAAAATTTAAATGCTATATGCATATGGTGCTTTTTATATACGTATTTTGTTCTTCATCAATTATGTCGCGCTAAATCTTCCATACTTCCAGAGTATTTTTTATGCGTCTGACGAAGAAACTTCTTCAGGCTATCATTCACTTTTCAGATATAACTTATTTTATTTAATAGAGTTTATTGAAACTTAAAAGATTTCAGAATGATTTATTCAAATAGACCTTTGTTCTTGATTTATGGCGATTTGATTTGGTATTTAACTAATGATAGAATAATTTGAAACTGTATCATTTGTTGAACTATCTTAAATTAAGTTGTCACTATTCAAAAATCTAATAAAATTGTCATAACTCAAAGATGCTGATCCATGAGGATGATTTACTATAGAATCATTCCAGTTTCAATCACTTTTACTTTATGAAAGAAGTTATATTTCAAAAACTAATAATAATCTGAAGAAGTTCTCTTGTGAATGACCATGAGCATTCTATTTATGTGAGAAGTACGAATCAAAAAATCTTCGAGGTCAAACACTGAAACTTGTTTTGAGAAAGTTGTCATCGAGCATTATGAGATATCTTCGTCAGATCTATTAGTCAGAAATATTCGGAAAACATGAAAAAAATCATAAAATATTAGAAACTCATCAATGAAAAGGATCCAACACTATATACTATCGAGACATCCTTGATGATGGAATTATCAGTGAAGAGCTTCTCAATCGAATTTCAAAAGACATTTTTTGCAGATATGAGTTTATCGGAAACCTTTTTTTTTCAAGAAATATTGCTAAAAATATGTATAGTCACTTTTCAACCAAAAAACTTGCTCCTCGGTCCTCTGATGAGTTATGGCGAACTTTTTTCGTGTCAAATACAGTTTCAACTATGTATTCCTGTGTCCATGTAAAGAGCATTGCAATTTATTGACATCTAGGCACGTTATTAATCACGCATTAGGAGATTATGCTATCTGTAATTCCATTTTATCGAAAGTCCTGATAAAGATGCCCAGAAAGAAAGTTACAAATGAATTGATCAAAAGCATCTCTTGTCACAGGTGACAGCTTGAAAATTTCAATACTTTTGAACGGAAAACGTTCCAAATGAAAGAATTATATCTCAGTACCTTCAACATAACTTGTCATCAATTTTTTTATTGAAAAAAGTATAGTCATCAAATGCTCAGATGGTGAATATCGTAAAAATGGAGATACTGAAGGAAATGATGTATAAGTATCTGAAGACAAAATCTGTGTTTGTTTCATAGCTTCGTCCTCTTCAGTCATTTGAGAACAAGTCTTGACCTTGTAACCAGCCTTTTATCATAGCTATATACATTCAAATTTTCAAAGTTTCATAGTAAGGTTTGTGGGTTACAGAGAGAGTAGTTCTTTTGGTCAGCACTTTATAGATTATGTCTCTAGTACATCTTTTCTTTCAGTAGAGGGAAAGAGAAAATTTTCGAAGAGATATATAACATGTATCTGTTTTTTTTAGATATATGGTTGGCGATGTGTCGATATTCAGCAACACGAAGAGGAAAAATTAGCAAATTCGAACTTGTAGTGAGCATTATTACAGTTCTTATCATTTTAAGTTTGATCATAGCTATAGGCTTCGTAATAGTTAAAACAAAATTCAATAGGAGACCAGAAAATGAACAAGGAAAACCATTAAAAGGTATTCCATATTACATTTTCTACACCAGATTGTAACAATATATTTTTCTTTATTTTAAAGGTAGTTGTCCAACAATGATAAATCGATCTGTTTGGAATGGTAGTGAACCAAGAAATTATACTATTTTATCAACACCTGTTCCTTATATTGGTATATATCATACAACTGGATCACAATGTACCACGCTTGATTCTTGCATGTCAATAACACAAGATTGGCAAAGATTTCATATGAATACAAGGAATTGGTCTGATATTGGTTATAATTTTTTAGTTGGTGGTGATGGCTATATATTTGAGGGTAGAGGATGGAATTATACGGGTGCACATTGCAGAGGTTATAATCCACAATCAATTGGTATGTTGATTTTGAAAACTTAAAGAATTTAATATTTTAACTTCTTATTGTTAAGGTATTGGTGTTATTGGTGATTATACTTCCATTCAACCATCTAAATCATTAGTAAATGCTGTTATATCTTTAATTACGTGTGGTATTTCATTTGGTTTTATTCAAGCAAATTATACTTTTCTTGGACATTGGGGTTATGGTATTATTGAATATTATATGCTTCATTTAAATAGATCTTCTAATAGTATACAATATTGTTTACCAACACCGACAACTGTTTCACTGAAATAGTTTGACTGATTTTTTCTATTTACTTATGAATGAAAATAGCTGCTTTTAGTCATTCTCTTATGTACAGTTTGGTTCAGAAAGTATCTTGATAAGATAAAATTATCCAATAAAGATCATACATATCTAAGTTGAAATTTGAATTCAATTATTGAATCCTTGAAAAATAGTCCTTCGAGTGCTTAAGGCTCCTCCCATCTCAAAAAAGTTAGTTTTCGTCAGAATAGTCAAGATTGAGATAAATACATGGAGAGATAGCCTGTCATTTGCTCTTTCATAAACGATAAAACTTTTCCTTCGATACCTCCTTTTTTCCAAAAAATGTTCAAGATTTTTGACAACCCCTATTCGAAAAACCAGCAGTTTTCGGAAAAACTCAAAAATCTTTTTCGCTTTTTCTCAAAATGGTGGTCGAACGATGCATCTTCGGCGAAAGGGTGTGTGGGTGGGTGTGGGTGAGGGTGTGGGTGTGGGTGTGGGTGTGGGTGTAGGTGTGTGGGTGGGTGTGGGTGTGGGGTGTGCACTTCATTTTAACCCTCAGTCACACCCACACTCTGACACAAAAAAAAATTTAAATTATAATTCGGATTATAAATAAGATCGAGTTGTCATATAAACACGATAAAAAGTAGAATTCTTGTTTCTAATTTATGTTTTGATAGAGTTATTAATATTGGTATACTGTGTGCGGTCAGGTCTTCTTTATAATTATACTAGAACTCATAAAATCTCATGATTAAATAGTCACCGGGGACAAAGGCCTTTCACCACGTAACTGACTCTTTATTTTCGCGTCGCAGCGTAGGACCACAAAGCTCTCCCTGAAGAACCGCGACCCATGCTTGTCTTTATGTATGCAGTATTAATAACTTCATATGTTATATTACAAATAGAATGCAGAAAAAATCAATACCTTTGGGTTACTATTGACGCCAAGGGGGAACAAACTGATTTCGATCGCTGAAATCAGTTTGAAATCACCTGAAATCAGTTTGAAATCACCTGAAATGGGTTTGAAATCACCTGAAATCAGTTTGAAATCACCTGAAATCATCTGAAATCACCAGAAATCAGTTTGAAATCACCTGAAATCACTTGAAATCACCTGAAATCATATGAAATCATCTGAAATCATGAAATCATGAAATCAGTTTGTTCCCCCTTGATTGACGCTTACCAGAAATGCGTCGATATTAAGAAGATTCCGATTATTTTAAACTTAGATATCACTACTACGTAGAGTTAAAGGAGCGCCTCATCTCATTTATAATTTATAATTTGAATTATACAGGGTGTTCCAAAAATTGTGTTCACTTAAGAACTGCGTATAACTCCCCTATCAACCAAATTTAGGGTATGGATGTAGACGACACTAAAGAGAACATCTACGCCCATACACCCACATCTCCAGCATCATCCCTAGGCTAAAATTTTAAAAAATTTCTCATAAGGAGATGCAAATCCTGGAGATGTGGCAACTCTTAGAAAGATGTGATGAGAGATACGGTATCTCTTGTAGAGATGTGGCATCTCCCTAGGGAGTTCGAGATAGTAAAAAGATATCATTACTATGTAATAATTCAATATTATGCTGTAATGTCATTAGTAAATGCAATATCTTCGTGGAGATCCCTGATTTCTTGGATCTGTGACAACACTCGATATCTCACTACTCTCATACAAAAACTAACCAGGAAACATTCCCAGATGCAGGAGCGCTTTTGAGTCGGGATTTTGTGCATCTTATAGTCCTTAGTGAGCTGTGTCTATGATAAAAAAAGTTTGGGTTTCTGGCTTGCTTCTGGCGAGAGATTGAGTTTTTAGTGACTTTTTTCTATATCATCTCACTTTTGCAGCAATGCTACATCTTTGAATTTTGACCTGAAACTTTGTCCACGTAAAAGTCTCAGCTAGACTAGCTTGCATAAAAAATTTCAGGAGTTTTGAAGAAAGTCTCTCCGGAATATGAAACGATCAAGATGCAGACATTTTTTCATAGATAGTATCTATAGTATACATTTTTCAAATCTTCGTATTCCGGAGAGACTTTGTCCAAAACTTCTGGAATTTTTTATGCAAGCTAGTCTAGCTGAGACTTTTATGTTAACAAAGTTTTAGGTCAAAATTCAAAGATATAGCATTGCTGCAAATGTGAGATGATATAGAAAAAAACCACTAAAAACTCAATATTTCGCTAAAAGCAAGTCAGAAACCCAAACTTTTTTTTTATCATAGACACAGCTCACTAAGGACTATAAGATGCACGAAGTCTCGACTCAAAAGCGCTCCTGCACCTGAGAATATTTCTTTGTAAGACAAAATTTATAAGTCCATATTCAGAAAGAGCACAAAATTTTGATCATAAACCATAGATTTTGACTTGTCGAAAACACTTTCAAGCGGACTAAAAATGAACAAACATTTTGTCTCAAAACTTTCGACTCATCCGTTATATAATTGACATGATTATGCTTCAGAGAATTTTATGATGCTGACATTACTCTTTTCACAATCATTTTTCATTGAACATGCAACTAGTTACTTCAAAAATGTATAGATGTGTAGATCAGCCATTACAATTCATACCTTTACTGATTCATCAGTAAATGACAATTGTCTTATGAGTAGTTACAGCTCTATATCTAGATATATTTGCTCAGTTCATTCATATTCTGTTGCCATCTATAGTATACAACGTGAAACGTTTTTTTTCCACAATATGCTAGTTATTTGTTCGATAGCATCCCGACCAATTGCTTTTTCTTTCTTGTTCTGTAGTCTTCGACGGTAGTGTTATATAGGAGAAAGAATGATAAAACGGAGCACATAGTCAAGAGTTTATCAGCGATAAATAACAGTTATGCACGTTAAAACGGAAATTTTTCCATCTTCATTCACCGGTCACAATCGTCGAATTGAGTTGGCTGGAACCGATCTATGGATTACTCCACGTATTGATAACGTTTTTGTCTATCCAGGCGATTTAAATATTAATCGTTTTAAAGACGCACTCGGTCACATTCTTGCACTATGGCCTTTAGTCTGCGGTCGTTTACTCCTACACGATGGAGAACATTATGTTATTGAAATGTCTGACAAAGCCGTACCAATTACAATCGTCGACAATACAGAATTAAAACAATGGCCTCTTAACTCTAATGTAGTATGGGACGCTGTTGAAGGTCAACTGCAACCATTTCTGGACGAAGTGCAAACTACGAAACTATGGCATGGTTCTCCAGATGAACCACTTTTTCGTTTGAAAATTACTCGTCTCATACAAAGTGGTGAATGGGTGCTCGGTATAAGCTGGGCACATGTGCTTGGAGATGCCTGTGCCTGTCTGAATTTTCTTCATGCTTTTTCATGTTCTTACCAACAAATAGAACCTCCGACACTGTTACCTAGTTTTGAACGTCGTCTGTGGTCAAGAGACGAAGTTGATCGATCATTGTTGCCTATTATGCGACACTTATGTGACGCTGTATCGATGGAACAAATTCAGGAAAAAATGAAGATCGAACAAGAGACGCATGTTCAATTGAATTTACGGTTTTCTGGTGAGCAGCTAGCCAGATTGCGTACCCTGGTCAATGACAGTACTTTAACTGTTCATGACATCATGATTGCCTACATTATTCTCACATTAAACGTTTCATGTTTTCAGACAGATGAAACGATCATTCGACACACTAACATCATTGTTAGTTATCGCGGTGTATCTGACTCAATCGCTCTACCTGGTTTAGTCGCCAATTGTACATTACGAGTGTTATCCGATAATTTTGACAATCCTTACTCTTTGCTGAATATTGCTCAGTCAATTCGACGTTCAATTGTCAGATCACGAGATCGAAAATTTCTCGAATCGTGGCTTGCCACTGCAGATAAACTCATGAGAGATATGGCACACAATGAACGTGAAGTTAACATAGATCATTTTGAAAATGGGATCGTGGTGAATTCAAATTATCGCTATGATTGGGCTGATCTCGTCGATTTCGGTCATTCTGATAAATGTCGCTTCTATACGGAGGGAACCACTGACTTATTTCTACGCGTATTTCGTCTCAATCCAATTTATAACGGCACTCAATGGATCGTGAGAGATCGTGAAGGAGCAGAAATAGCGTTCCAAATTCAAAAGAATATTCAGAAAAACTTTCTTGATGCGTGGCAACGCGATGTCAATGAAAATTTTATCAATGTGAAAAAATAAAAATAACTAATGTCTATTTCAAAATAGAAGGCAGATTGTCATTTTCTGAATAGCTTTTGCTGAGTACTAGATATAGATCTGCGGTTTTTACTGTTCGAAAGAGCGATGTTCGAGTCTTTGATCTGTAGAGAACTCATTAAGGTGAAAGATGCCTTTTTATGGATGCCTTTGGGTCAACACTTTTTTCTTTGCGTATTTTCACCAATTTTCAATATAATCTCAACTCAGACTATATTAAAATGTAGCTCAAATTACCTTTTTCCACTATAAAAGTATCACATATTTCATTATTCCTCAACCTCGTATTGCAAGCACATGTACAAAAAATGTGATAATTTTATAGGGCAAAAAGGGTAATGGGTGTGAGTGTGGGTGTAGATCTTCTATTCTCTTGCACTCACACCCACCCACACCCATATCCTCTTTCTGTTGGATCTTTGTAGACTAGGCGACCTTCAAGACTTATCACTGACTCGACAAAGAATGTAGAACTTAGATGAAACTCGGAAGACACGTCGTAGAAACGTGTAGTAATATTCTATGATCTGTCTGCATTCTTCAATCGATTTGACTGACTATACTCATATCGTCTGCTTGGTATTCAATAGCGACTGTATACATCGAAACAGCATAAAGCAATCCTGTTACGGTAAATGATGACGGTATTCATCGCAGTAGTGACCAGTGTTCCTTGCGACAAAACAGTAACAAATAGTTAAAACAGTGATGCCATGATTGTACTACATTTCTCTAGCAAATAATCCACTTACTAAGATGGTCATGAGAATGATAAAATTTCTTTTGATATTATTTATCAGTACATAAATGAATTTATAAAATTTCTATATGATCTTTCCGTTTCTTTGTGTAACATACTTCTTTTAACATAATACACATCACTTTGAAATAGTGACCAGGGGTGAGTGTTATGGCTATGTGAGAGTAACGACGTGGATAAGAATGTCACGGCATAGGCATTGGTGTGCAGTGAGAGTCTGGATGTTCGGGTGATTTTGATTGAAGATCTGCTCTTCACTCTCACATCCATCCACATTCATCTTAGGATAGTACGGGAAGAACTCATATACATGCAACGATAACGAACTCAAGAACATCGACAACCTATTATGTAACGGAAACACAATGGTGTTTACAAAACAGAGCTAAAACATAAGGTGATCGCCTTATCGAAGATTAATACGTGGGTTGCGCTCTGTCCAAGGACATTTTCGAACAAAACTTCCTTAATGCTTCTTATACTTTAGTGACGTGTATTATGTCCATTTATTTGTCTTATACTGATTATTCCTTTTGTCCTCGAGAAATAAATATCTTGCCTCAATCGAAGCCTTCGCACTGAATTGATATCGATCAGTTAGATTATTCGATTAAACATATTTTTACGGTGCTGTCTTGTAGATTCATTGTTTTGTAACTTCAATCTTGTTCCGATCAAGTAGATGTTGTGAAATACTAGTGAAGACCTACATGCAGGCAAACAGTATCACTTCTTGTTACCGTCATCATGTTTGTAGAATAAAAACAAACGGGAACAAAATAAAAAGTGAAAATAATCTCTTGTATTCTTTTTCTTATTATAGAAAGCCTCTAGATAAAGAAAAATGCACGCCGAAACTTCTCTTTTCAGATGGATTTAAGAAATGAATACCAGAATAAATATCATTCATGGCACTGCTCTGTGTATGCCAATACAAAAAAAAAATCTTTGATTGTAACTCAATTTTTTCTCTTTTATTTTGTTGGTTTCTCACTAGAACATGAAATAGAATAGGTTTCATTGTTCTTATATATTCTCCTATTCATTCAACATGGAGAAAAGATTACTTGTCAACAAAAATAAAAAGCAAATCAGTATAAACAACAGAATTCAAAAAGTGATGCCTTAATTTGGAGGACAGAAAACTAAGTTAAAAACATCAAAATATTTTATTATGTCATAAGTCCCATACAAGACATCATTGGATGCTAAATAGATTTAGACAATTTCAACCAGAGACATATGCATCTCTCTCATGATGTATTTCAGCACTGAACATTCTAATGACTTTGAGTGGTAATGAAGTCGATACGACTTTCCTGATTATATAGGTAAAAGATCAATATCTTCTCTTTTCGCATTAAACTTGAGTGAAAGCAAGATCAAGATCATTTGATGTGTTGCAACAAGTAAGACCTGTCTAGGATATTAAATTGAATAATGTCTTTTGATTCTAACCTATACCAATAAGAAAATTCAATTTTTTTTTCTTTTTCTGGTCGCTATTGACAGAAGCCTTTCTTGATAATGTAATAACAAGGCAACATCCTAAGAAACTCGAGATTTCGATTATTTTTATTAAAAAATTGCTTATTTGTTCATTTGCTCTGAATGTGTAAGCAGTACAGAATAAAAAATGGACCAGTTGTGCACACCAAAGACTCCCTGTCAACCGCGAGTGAAACGTCTAAGCAAGTCGAAGTTGAAATCGATCCGTAATATTCGTAACGTCAATTGCCAAGTCTTTCCAAGATCTTCTCGTCTACGCATTCAACGTCTGAGCAAAGAAAACGTTCTCTCAGCTTCAACAGACGACTCTCCGATCTCGCTGACTTCGTCTCGGCTTCAGGTTCAATGTACAAACACAGCAAATGTAGCATCGATTTCGAGTGTCAATGTTCTTCAATCTCGCCGTACTCGGATACCCCGCCGGGTTTCTGTCAGGCATATAAGCAAGTCGGAGTTAAAATCGATCCGTAATATTCAGAGTGTCAATTGTCGAGTCTCTGCAAGATCGTCTCATCTACGCATCCGACGTCTGAGCAAAGAAAAAGTCCTCTCAGCTTCAACAGGTCACTCTTCGATCTCGACAGTTCCGTCTCGGCGTCAGGCTCAATGTACAAGCAGAGAAAGTATGGAATCGGTTCCAAGTATCAATGTTTTTCAGTCTCACTCTGCTCCAACACCTCATCCAATTTCTATCAGGCATTTAACCAAAGGAGAAATCGGATTCATACAGAGTGCTGGCAGCGTCAATTTTCAGACTTCTTCGGTAAGTAGCATTAAACGAGAGAAATCTACTTTGATTATGTTGTTCTCATTGACTGCTAGCCTATGATCAATTGGCCAAATAGCAAACAGATTAGGATTTCGCCAGAAACTTCTGATGCTTGGACTAAAACGAAGGAAGAGTCGAAAAAGAAACGTAAAAGGTATGTGACAACTTATAGTTCTTTCGTATTCAATCCTTATTAAGCAACTCATTCACAATTTCTAGTTTGAATAGCGCTAGCAAATTAATAGCAAAGTACTAGTTGTATATTATCTTGTTGTTTTTTTAGAAGGAAAAGATTGCTAGGGACTAAGATTTGGCTATGCTATTGTTTATGTATTCTTATGGCGCTTCTACTAGCTGCAATCGCTGGAATCATCGTCTTTTTTGCATTACGTTCGTATTACATTATCTTATATGTGATCTCATACAATATCATTATATCTTGACAATAGGAACAACAACTTCATCAACATCGACTACAGCTACATCGACTACAACTACAGTCACATCAGCATCGACCACAACCTCAACCACAGGAAGTTAGTTTCGGTTACGTCATAAAAATATCTCTCTCAAAAAAAAATCAACTTTCCTTCGTCTAAGTGATCTATTGATGATTTGGCCGCAGCCAACATAGATTTTTGTCAAAATTTGTCGAGCTAATTATGCAAAAATAGATGCATCAATAATATATTATTGATTTTTCTAGCTACGGCATCCACAACAACGACAACGACTACGACATCAACGACGGATACTTCTACTTCGACATCGACTACGACATCAACGACGGGTACTTCTACTTCGACATCGACTAGTAGCACCTCATCGACATCGACTAGTAGTACCTCATCGACATCGACTAGTAGCACCTCATCGACATCGACTAGTAGCACCTCATCGACATCGACTAGTAGCACTTCATCAACATCGACTAGTAGCACTTCATCAACATCGACTAGTAGTACCTCATCAACCACTACACACACTACGACGACGTCCAAAACGACATCGACAACGTCCAAAACGACATCGACGACATCCAGAACGACATCGACGACATCCAGAACGACATCGACGACGTCCACATCGAGTAAGTGAGACATATTCGCATACATGCTGAGTCAATATTAAACATTTGTAGCCACAAAATCAACAACGTCTGTTACTACTACAAGTATGTTTCATTTATCACAACTCTAAAGTCGATGGATTGCGCTATGTGCTCAACTCTTTTCTCTTTTGTTTTTAATCGAGTTCGAGATAGTATGATGAATATTTCTTTTAGCACAAACAACAACGGTCACGACCAGAGCATCGACGAGTAAGTGTGAAATTTCACCTTTTCTCAAAAAAAAAACAATTGAACATTGATTTGTAGCTCCCTCATGCACTAGTTCTGGTGGTGGTTACGGATTGTTACTACAACAGTTTGGAGCTATACCGAGTTCATGGACTAAATCGACAATTACACATACAGCAATCTATACGGATCCGTTGCTTCTATTTGGATTTGAGACTGGTAATAGTAATTATCATTACTTGGATAGTGTGTCTGTGGTGGATGTTGCTTCACCATCTGTCGAACTTCTCAACAATCCTAGTTTCGAAAATGCCACCGGTACCTTGCCAGGTTGGACTCAATGGTGTGCATCGTCGTGTACCACTAGCAATGGCAATGCAGCACAGCAAGCATCCGGTTATTCTTGCTATCTGAACACAGGAAAATGCCTTGAAGTTATGTGTGAAGGTTCTGGCATCTTTTTTATCGGACAATCCTTTCGAGCGATCATCGGACATACATACACAATTTCGTTTTGGCAACAACATTCTGGATCAGGTTCAGGGAACGAGTTCTATGTCGATGTTATGTGAAAGAGACTCTTATCATTGCTTTTTAAATAACATTCACAACATTTTCATTCTAGTTTTTCGATGTTGCACGAAAGACTTCAATCGTATCTTTGATTTTTCACATCATATCGTTTTTCAAAACCCATTGTGGTTGGTCTATGAGAAGTAAAAAAAATGTCGGTTGAATGTAGTATGGAGTTTAAGTGCTGCGTTTTCTAAAGTCTAAATATCGATACTAAACATAATTCAAGATTATCTGTTATTTCATTACGCACTCATGTTTGTCTATATTTTTTATTTGCTTTTTAATAGCATATTTACATTTCTGTAAGCGTCTGTTTCAAAAACCTTTTTTTTTCTTTTGCTTACAAAAAAGTGGAATGTCAACAGTTAAATATCTTAGTGATTGACTTTAGTACCAAGGATAAATAGAACTTTTTTGTCAACACTACAGAGAAGTGAACTAATCCATGAAGTTCCTCAATGAGCAAGAAAATGTCTTATTATAAAATTGAAAACGAGTTTTAATGAAAGAAAAACAAGGAACATGATAGTTGATGAAAAAAAAATCAGAGCTCAGCATTGAAATTCATCCCATTGGCGAAAGAGTCATTTAATTTGGAATAGTTTTTCATCATCGTTCTATACACCAAGAATTGATCAAGTTGTATTTTCAAAAAGGTAAGTTTTATATAGAACTGTGCTTGTTCTCAAAATAGCACATTCTCTGTCCTCTACTATAGATGTTGTCTAATAGTGAACTTAGCTTGATTCATCATTTTAGTCGATCCAGGCAATCATGATGGCCTCAACGAATGCAAATGAAGTTGATGATGAAAATTCGATACCACGGTCAAGTATGATTATTCAAGAATTCCGTTTGAATATGTCCACTCATGGCATTTCAGGTATCGCCTGCTGTCGAAGTGTACACAATTGAATCTTCTAGACTGTCGTTTTTTCGATTTTTATCGATATTATGCTATTTTTTATTATTCAATCAATCAGATCGATTTTCCAATATCCCACTCA